GATATATGAACAACGAACTATGCCCTTGTGTGTTCATTAAGAAGTCACATTCAAGTTTTACTATAGTTACAGTATATGTCGATGACATGAACCATATCGAAACTCCTGAAGAACTCGCGAGAATTGCTATACACTTAAAGTTGGAATTTGAGATGAAAGATTTAGGAAAGACTCAATACTGTCTCGGTCTCGAGATAGAGCACCGTTCAGATGGAATCTTAATACATCAAATGAACTACACCCAGAATGTGTTGTGCCGCTTTAATGAAGATAAAGTGAAGCCTTCGAGTACTCATATGGTTTTTCGATTACTAGATGCAAAATGGGATCCCTTCCATCCAAAAGAGGATGATAAAGAGATTTTGAAGCCTGAAGTTCCTTATCTAAGTGCGATAAGCGCTTTATTGTACTTAGCTCAATGCACTAGACCCGACATCTCCTTCATTGTTAATCTTTTGACAAGATACAGTAATGTACCAACATGCAGACACTGGACTGGTGTTAAAAACATTTTCCGCTACCTTAAGGGTACTACGGATCTGGGCTTGTTCTATCCCTACGGATCCTCGAGTGATACCGCACCCCCTTATCTCAAGTCGATTCTTGCCTTATTGGTTTTACCGACGCATGATACTTATATGATCTTGCAATCTTTACCCCGTCGTTGATGTCCCGAGGACGATCTATGAAGACAACGAAGCATGCATCGAACAATTTAAGAAAAGTTACATCAAATGAGACAACACCAAGCATATTGCGCCGATGTTCTTCTTCTCACATCAACAACAAGAGAATCAAAAGATTGAGGTCACGCAAATCCATTCACAAGACAATCTGGCCTACCTTTTCACCAAATCACTACCTAAGGTGATGTTTCAGAAGCTTGTTCAAGGAATTGGTATGCATAAACTTTCTGAGTTGTAACATTGCTAGTTCTCTTTGGAATTATGTCAAACTCAAGGGGAGTATCCTGAAGTATACTTGCTTGATCTTAATATACTCTTTTTCCTACAGTTAGGAGCATTTTTCCCACTAGGTTTTAATGAGGCACCCACCTTGGGTTGATCATATCCCCGATGACGTCTCGTAGACGTTTCATTTGACTTTGCATTTCTCACGCAGTTTTCTTAGACTATGGGTTTTGTCCCTACTCAGGTTTTTACCATAGTCATATGGTTTTCTATGAGACTTACTTCCTTATGCAAGTTCCTACCTTATTTAGAATAACATGTTCCCAGAATAAGTGCCTACGAGTCGACTTCCTTAATCTCTACATGATGCTGAATCTACTTGAGCATTTATACACTCAAGGGGGAGTGTTATAAACTTCTAGTTTAAGTGTGATTGTGTAAATCCTAGATTAGACTTGATTATAGTTATTCTTTCCTATATGGACTTGTATTGCTTGGAGGATAAGGATTTCTTCTCTCTCTTATTACTATAAATAAAGGCACTGCGTAGAGGGAATAACACACACATTCCTCTACACTACAAACACATCTCTCTATTTTCTCTCTCTGTGCCGCCGACCCCCTTCTCTTGTCAAATAAAATAGGCTACAACAATGTTATATATTTATTTATTATTTTTCGTAAAGTATTTAATTATTCGAATGAAATTAATCTCAATAATATGTCTGACAACCGAACAATTTGGGCTTGGGCTGAATTAGATTTTTTTTTTCCATAATAGGTTGGAAACCTAATATAACACACACACACACACACATATAAGCGAGGTCCTCTCATTAGCAGCCGCACCACGATTATGCAGTCACCATTTGTAATAGTGAGGAAGAGCTTGATTACTGCGTATTGATCATTACAAATTTACAGGTTCATATCTTGTGTTGTTTATGGAACTTATTTATTGAGATTTACACATGCTTGGGAATACATTGGCCTTGCATTTATAAATGGAAGACTAATTTTGATATAAAACATAAATCTACAAGTGCTATATAATTGGCAAAACTTTGTGAATCATAGTATTTATACAAATTTGAGAATTTTTTTATTTTTCTTTCATTGCGATGAAATTCTAGCTTTGCCATTATCAATTTTTTTAAAAAACTAGTTTTAGGATAAGCCTTGGCATGTTTTGGGCAAAGCGGTGGCAAAAACACCTCAGCCCAACCAACCTGGGTGGTATAAGGTCAGTGCCTGGTTTTACAATCTTTTCAAGAATACAAATGGTGAAATTAACATGGGGTTTTGATTGGGCTCAAGGAGTACCTTCGAATGGCACGGATTTCACTGTTTTAGATGGCTAGAAACGGAAATTATAAAAGCGGGTTGGAACTTTGGCGAACCCTACTCACTTAGACTCTCCCTCATCAATTTGTTTCTTTTTTTTCTTTTTCTTATATTATTAAATTTATATCATACTTAGTTTTTATTATTTAACACTAGCGTATGCCTACATACTTTGTATGTATGAACACTTTTTTATTATTGTTTTTAAAATGGGAAGGAGAGAGAACGTGGGTGGGACTGGAAGGTTTTTGTTTTTTATTTTATTTTAATATTAGATATATCTTAATATCACTGAAGGTGATGCTTTAATAAAAAACAGTAAAATTTAGATCTGTGAAATTACACTATTGCCTTTTTTTGTGATAGAAAACTAAATAGTTTTTTTATCCTCTTTTGGATGACAAAGATGGTTCTATTAATAAGTAGTTTCGATATATATCTCTACTAATTAATAAAACACTTATTGTCTACCAAAATCCTATGAAATTATCAGTTTAACCCTCTACTTAAAACAGAACATGAATAAGAAATATGGGGCAGAAATGTAATTTCACAAAACCAAATTTTACTTTTTTTTTAAAGTCTCACCTACATGTAATCCTAACATATTTCTAATTCAAAAAATCAATAAATAAAATTCTCACTCCCACATTCTCTATCACTCTCTTCATCTCTCCTTCTATTTCAAAAAAAAAAAATTTCTCACACACTTTGTGTGTGCCCATATGCTAATGCTTAATTAATATATATCTTATTGCAAAATCCTTGCCAAGAAAAATCACAATTGGAGGTCCTGAATCCTGATGTAGAACTCAAATATTCCTGAGCAAGGTTTATAGGCCTGGCACAAAGAAAAGACTCACATTGAGCTCCAGATAGAAACAAACTATGATAGATCTGGCAGAGCAAGGTTCGGCAGATCTGATTCAAAATTTATTTAGAGGTCGTTTGATAAATATTTTATTTTTAATTTTTAGTATCTAATTATTTTATGAAAAAACTACTTTGGTAATATTTTCAGTTAAAAAAAATAAAAACTAAAAGTCAAATTTTGAAAACAATACTCGCTTAGACTCCCCCTCATCAATTTGTTTCTTTTTTTTTCTTTTTCTTATATTATTAAATTTATATCATACTTAGTTTTTATTATTTAACACTAGCGTATGCCTACACACTTTGTATGTATGAACACTTTTTTATTGTTGTTTTTAAAATGGGAAGGAGAGAGAGCGTAGGTGAGACTGGGAGGTTTTTGTTTTTTATTTTATTTTAATATTAGATATATCTTAATATCACTGAAGGTGATGCTTCAATAAAAAATAGTAAAATTTAGATATGTGAAATTACACTATTGCCCTTTTTTGTTATAGAAAACTAAATAGTTTTTTTATTCTCTTTTGGATAACAAAGATGGTTCTATTAATAAGTAGTTTCGATATATATCTCTACTAATTAATAAAACACTCATTGTCTACCAAAATCCTATGAAATTATCAGTTCCTCTACTTAATACAGAACATGAATAAGAAATATGGGGCAGAAATGAAATTTCACACAACCAAATTTTACTGTTTTTTTTTAAGCCTCACCTGCATATAATCATAACATATCTCTAATTAAAAATAAATAAATAAAATTCTCACTCTCACATTCTCTATCACTCTCATCATCTCTCCTTCTATTTCAAAAAAAAAAAAAAAATTACTCACACACTTTATGTGTGCCCATATGCTAGTGCTCAATTAATATATATCTTATTGGCAAAATCCTTGCCAAGAAAAATCACAATTGGAGGTCCTGATGTAGAGCTCAAATATTCCTGAGCAAGGTTTATAGGTCTGGCACAAAGAAAAGACTCATATTGAGCTCCAGATAGAGACAAACTATGATAGATCTGGCAGAGCAAGGTTCGGCAGATCTGATTCAAAATTGGCAGATCTGATTCAAAATTTATTTAGAGGTCGTTTGATAAATATTTAATTTTTAATTTTTAGTATCTAATTATTTTATGAAAAAACTACTTTGGTAATATTTTCAGTTAAAAAAAATAAAAACTAAAAAAACTAAAAGTCAAATTTTGAAAACAATAAAAGGTAGTTTTCATTTTTTTTTAATCAATTTCAATAAAAGTACAAACAAAAATTAAAACGACAATTTAGTATATGTGTTTGGTTAAATTTTCATTAATCTTAAAATTGCCCCGACTAGTATTAACAAGACGGGTAATGCTAGAGAGATTAAAATTGTAGACAAAATTTGGAAATTAAATGAGATGGAAGTTAACAGTTGAGTTATTGCTTAAGTGTTAATAAACATGCTCGTTTCTTATTGATGACACATCATTAGTTTGTAAATTTTGTCTTGCTAGATTTATCCTTAACAAGACTAATGAGCTCTAATTTTAAGAAAATGCGTACTTATTTATCAATGCAATAAAACACAAGAAATTTGTATTGAAATGTAGATATCGAAGCTGTTAATTCATGAGTATATTATCAAAACGAATATCAGTGCAATTAAGAGTAGATTTGATAGATAATTGTTGTGCTTCTCTGAAGTGAGACTACTCTTCACATCCTTCTTGGCTTGTATCGAGTCCACCCACTCGAACTACCAACAATTATTTTAGACTTTCAGTCATTCCAGAAGCAACTCCGAGCATGTTTTCCTAGTGCTTTTCTGCTTTGCTTTTTTTAGCCATTCTGGAATTAGCTTCGAACTGCAGCGCCAATTGAGTGAGTAACCGCCAGGGCCATGCACCACCAACGGTGTAACACGCCGTGTGAATGCCCGTTATTATCCACGTGCCTCTCACGTGCAAAACTTCCATCCTAATTTTATCTCTGCTTCTGCTACAGAGTCACGCCACTTTTGTTCCCGAACTTCCGAGAGTGACGTAACCGTCCGTCTTCTTCTTCCCTCTCCGTCGTCGTTTCGATTTCTCCTTCCAATTTCAAAATCCTCTGAAATTTTCTCGCGTTTTCCCAGTCCCCAGACAAACCCTAACCCAAAAAAACCCACAATCCTTCGCTGTAAATTTCCCGCATTGCCCTTCAAACCATGGCCTCCAGCGCCGTTAACGTCAAGCAAGAACCCTCCGAGAAACCCTACCAAATCCCCAACCTTCTGCCAATCCCATTAAGCAGCGATAGTAGCAGTAGCAGTAGCGCCAGTTCCGTCAATTCTTCCGACATCGAAGACCTTGAGACCAATTCCTTGTTCGATTCTGTGACGAGCAAGTTGAACGGCGACGATCACGATTTGGCGGATGGAGGGGATGATGCTCCGGCCGCAAAGAAGGCGAAACGCGACGGTGAAAGGTATTAAACTTGGATCCAATCTATATTTTTGAATAATGATCTGCTGCAATTGCAGCAGAGTTTTATACACAGTTTACTACACACGCATGCAAATAAACAAAACAACTGGAAGTGGCATCCTTGCTGTCTATGAAACATCAGTCAGTATACACATGCAATGGCCTTGCTGTCCACTATGTATGTGTCCTTGTTGTTTAGAATAATCATACATCCTTAACGTGGGAACCATATTCCAATCTGTAAAGCACAGTGGAATCTGTAAAGCACAGTGCACTGCATGTGGAGCATCTTTAACACTCCCCCTCAAGTCGGAGTGTGAATGTCAATGACGCCTAACTTGCCTAGATGCGTTTGAAAAATAGGCGCACGCAGTGGCTTAGTAAACAAGTCTGCGACTTGTTCTCCCGTTCCGACATAGGAAGTTTTAATTTCTCCCCTTTCAACCATCTCACGAACAGTGTGGCAATCGATCTCAATATGCTTTGTGCGTTCATGATACACAGGATTTGCAGCTATGTGTAAAGCCGCTTGGTTGTCACAAAATAACTTTGCTGGTTGGGAATGCTCAACACGTAAATCTTTCAACAAATATCGCAGCCAACTTAATTCACAAGTAGTTGCAGCCATGGATCGATACTCCGCTTCAGCAGAGGAACGAGCTATTGTAACTTGTTTCTTGCTTTTCCAGGACACAAGTGACTTTCCAAGGAAGATACAATAACCCGTCACTGATCGACGGGTAATGGGGCAACGTGCCCAATCTGCATCACAGTAACCGATTAAATGTAATTCACTTTGGGAAGAGAACATTAAGCCTTGTCCGGGTGCTTCTTTCAGATATTGGAGAAGGCGATGTGCTGCCTTAAGATGGTGAAGTTTGGGTTCTTGCATGAACTGACTGAGATTATTTACTGCATACGTAACGTCTGGCCTTGTAATGGTGAGATAGATCAGTTTACCAACCAAACGTCGATATCGAGTCGGGTCCTTGAGAGCATCACTACCCGTTGTTGTCAACACTAAATCAGGTTCCATGGGTACCTTGGCAGGTCTTACTCCAAGCAAACTAGCTTCCTCCAATATATCCAAGGTATATTTACGTTGGCAAATGGAGATCCCAGCCTTGGACCGTGCAACTTCGACACCAAGAAAATATTTTAATGGTCCGAGATCTTTAATTCGGAAACAACCACTAAGAAACTTCTTGAGTCGACTAATGGCTTCCTCATCATTTCCTGCAATGATCATGTCATCAACGTAGAGTAATACCACAGTAATAGATTGTCCACAGACCTGAGTGAATAACGAGTAATCCGCACGGGACTGTTGGAAGCCAATTTCTTGAATGGCAGATGAAAACGTTGGAACCAACTGCGAGAAGCTTGCTTGAGTCCGTATAACGATTTGTGGAGTCAACAAACCATGGTCTCCCCCTGTCGACGATATCCAGGAGGCGGTATCATATAGACTTCTTCATGCAATGCACCGTGAAGGAAAGCATTTTGGACATCCATTTGATGAAGAGACCAGCTGCGAACAGCAGCAACAGTCAAGAAACAGCGGACAGTAATGAGTTTAGCAACTGGAGCAAACGTCTCTTTGTAATTAATCCCTTCGCGCTGCGTGAACCCTTTGGCGACAAGGCGGGCCTTGTAGCGTTCGATGGTACCATCGGAATGGTACTTGATTTTGAAGACCCATTTACAGCCAATGGGTCGTTGGTGAGGAGGGAGGGGAACCATAGTCCAGGTGTGATTGGCTTCAAGGGCTTCAATCACAGAGTTCATGGCTACAAGCCAGTGAGGGTCATGACGGGCCTGCTCATAAGAGGCTAGTTCAACCAAGTGAGAGATGTTGTGGACAAAAGAGCAGTAAGCAGGAGAGAGATGGGAGTAAGAAACATACCGTTGAAGGGGATATCGGGTGCCGGACATGGTGGAAGGGATGACGCTGCGCTGAAGCAAAGCAGCATGATGTGTCTGGTAGTCACGAAGATGGGCAGGTGGGTGTTTAATGCGGTCGGAGCGGCGAAGAGAAGGAGGTTGCGAATGTGAGGGAGCAGATGCTGGCGAGGGAGGGATGTCTGGCGAGGGAGGGATGTCTGGGGTGAAGGAGTGATATCGGTAGTGGGAAGGAGGTCAGGAGTTGGAAGGGGTTGAGTTGAGAGGAGTGCAGGAGTGGGATCGTCATGAGGGATAGGTAAGACAGGGAAGTCGAGGTCTTTTTCTGGTGGTGAGGTAGCAAGGGGGAAAATATGCTCATGAAAGATGACATCACGAGAGGAAAAAACGCGTTTGCTATCAAGGTCATAAACACGGTAGCCCTTTTGGCCAAGGGGATAACCCAGGAAGAGGCAGCGACGAGCACGAGCATCAAATTTGTGGGAGGGGGTAAGGTTGGTGGCATAGCATAAACACCCAAAAACCTGGAGATGAGAGTATGTAGGTAGTGTCCCATGCAAGAGTTCATAGGGAGATTTGTGGGAAAGTAAGGGTGCTGGAAGGCGATTGATAAGGTAACATGCAGTTTGTATACTCTCCCCCCAGAATTTTAAGGGTAGGTTAGCTTGAAATCGTAAGGCACGGGCAACGTTCAAAAGATGGCGATGTTTGCGTTCAACTACCCCGTTTTGTTGAGGGGTGTGTGCACATGTGTGTTGAAAAAGGATGCCATGAGTGTCTAAAAACGAACGCATAGATACAAATTCTCCCCCATTGTCTGCACGAAGGGTTTCAATGTCACGATGAAACTGGGTTTTGACCCAAGAAAAGAACGAGTGCAACAAGGTTTATGTATCTGATTTAAATCGCATAAGATGAACCCATGTGAAACGGGTAAAGTCATCTACAATGGTGAGGAAGTAACGTGCCCCAGAGTGTGTATGGATTTTATGTGGCCCCCAAATATCACAGTGGATCAAATCAAAAGGAGCAACTGATTTTATTGAACTGGAAACAAAAGATGAACGAGTTTGTTTTGCTAAAGGACAAACATCACAAACATGTGTAGAATCAAAGATAATTTCTGGGATAGTCTGGGATAAAGAGTGAAGGGGAGCCGAGGATGGGTGCCTAAGACGTTGATGCCAAAGTGCCGAGGTACGTTTGACATGGTGAGCGAGATGAGGGTTTTGTGTTGGAGTGAGGTAGTAAAGTCCATCAAACTGCTTGCCCAGGCCAATCATCCTCTTTGTAGCCATGTCCTGCACAACACAAAAACCCGGGTAAAATATCACAATGCACTTCAATGCCCAGGTCAACTTACTCACAGATAACAAATTCACATGAAATTGTGGCACATGTAAAACTCCATCAAGAGTTATCTCGGGGGACAATTTAATGGACCCAATGGTTTCAATCGCAGCCTGTCCGCCATTTGGTAAACCAACAAAATCATGTTGGGTTTTAGTGTGATTATGGCTGAGTGATAAGTGAGAAACATGATCTGTGGCCCCGCTATCCACGATCCAATACAATGTTGGATCATAATGTGCAAAATTGCAGTTGGGTGTATAGATACCTGTTGCATGTGCAAGGGGCAGATCAGTACCATTCTTATTGCGAATGAGAGCTATGAGTTGGTTGTACTCCTCGGTTGTGAACGTTGCATCAAATTTGTTGGAGGTTGTTGCTTTGGTAGCTGGCGACGGTAATGCTTCAACATTGTTGGAAGTTGGAGGTGCACGTCTATTTCTGGGCTGCACATTCTTCCCGTGCCATTTGTGTCCTTCAGGGAATCCAATAAGGAAAAAACAACGTTCGACTGGATGTCCTCCGTCACAGTAGCTGTATTTGAATATCTTCCGTGAATTAGGGTTGTTGGCATCATAGCCTCGTTTTGGTGCTGTCGAATGATTGGTTTGCATTGCATGGGCGATAGGTTCACGTCGATTTACCACATCCAATTGACGTTCATGTTGAAGAACCAATCCATGGACTCGTTGTGTATCTGGAAGTGGGCTCATCATTAAGATAGAACCTCGTATGATTGAGTAACTCTCGTTCAGACCCATTAAGAACTGCATGACTTTCTCTTTTTCTTCCTTGTCTGCATGTGCCTTGGATCCCTCGCATTCACAGGCAATGGGCCCATGATATGATGCTAATTCATCCCAGAGAGCTTTCAATTTTGTGTAATAATCTGAAACAGATAGCTGTCCTTGTCGGTGTTCGGCAATTTCTTGTCGAATTTGATAGATCCTGGAATCGTTTCCTTGCGAGAAACGATCCTCAAGATCTCTCCATGCTGCTGATGCAGTTTTGCAATAGAGTATATTGTGGGCAATGTTGCCATGCACGGATTGCCAAATCCAGGACAAGACCATGTCATTGCATCTCTGCCAAATTGGATACTTGGCATCAGTGGTTGCGGGATTCTTGATTGATCCATCAATGAACCCTAGTTTGTTTTTGGCGCTGAGGGCGATTCGCATAGAACGGCTCCACTGTCCATAGTTGTGTCCATCAAGAAGTTGACAAGACTTGGTGAGTCTGAATGATGCAGAATGAGAGGATCAGATACATGGGGTATCGTCTCAGTTGGTCTTTCGTCGCCCATGGTGGCTGTGTTTAATGAAGATGGACCGGTTGTGTTTGTGGCGGAAGCAGAATGAGCTTTCTAGAGTCACCAAGATCGGTGCTCTGATACCATATTAAACTTGGATCCAATCTTTATTTTTGAATAATGATCTGCTGCAATTGCAGCAGAGTTTTATACACAATTTACTACACACGCATGCAAATAAACAAAACAACTGAAAGTGGCATCCTTGCTGTCTATGAAACATCACATGCAGTGGCCTTGCTGTCCACTATGTATGTGTCCTTGTTGTTTAGAATAATCATACATCCTTAACGTGGGAACCATGTTCTGAAATTTTCTCGCGTTTTCCCAGTCCCCAGACAAACCCTAACCCAAAAAAACCCACAATCCTTCGCTGTAAATTTCCCGCATTGCCCTTCAAACCATGGCCTCCAGCGCCGTTAACGTCAAGCAAGAACCCTCCGAGAAACCCTACCAAATCCCCAACCTTCTGCCAATCCCATTAAGCAGCGATAGTAGCAGTAGCAGTAGCGCCAGTTCCGTCAATTCTTCCGACATCGAAGACCTTGAGACCAATTCCTTGTTCGATTCCGTGACGAGCAAGTTGAACGGCGACGATCGCGATTTGGCGGATGGAGGGGATGATGCTCCGGCGGCGAAGAAGGCGAAACGCGACGGTGAAAGGGGGTTCGTGTTGCCGGTAGGGTTTCTGCGTCCTCTCCCGCCGTTGGAATTGTCCAAGGAGTTGCCTCTGGCTCTGGTTTTGCCCACCTCGACAATGTGCTTGCCGAGTGGGTCCGGTTGTAATAACCAGGTGGGCCCGGTTATAAGGGGATGCAAGCAGTTTTGGAAAGCAGGGGATTATGAGGGTGACAGTGGAGGCATTGCCATTTCTGGGTTTTCGTCTGGTAAGTTAGTGCTTCTGGCTCTTTGTTTTTGTTTACCAAGTGTTTGACAATTTGTTTTCTTCCTCTGCAAGTCTTTTTTCATTGGAATTTTGCTCTACATGTCTTTGTTGGAGTGTTTTAGGAGAGTCTGATGGTAATTTGCTAATCGTTTTTGGATGTTTTTGGATTTTGCAGCTGGCATGGACCATGTTAGGGTTCATCCCAAGTTTCTCCATTCAAATGCAACCAGCCATAAGTGGGCTCTGGGAGGTACATTGTCACTGAAGTTCTGAACGATGGATTACTTGTTTTTTCATTTCCCCGAGTGAAAAGAATTTGGTTATGCAATACTGGAATTTGGCTGACTGTGATCTTCTGTTTGCAGCTTTTGCGGAGCTCCTAGACAATGCTTTAGATGAGGTTATTGAACATATATTTTCTTTTTCCTTTTCTTTTCTTCAAAAATTTAAGGAATATGGAAGTGCGTCTTGACTATTTATGTTGGTGTAGGTCTGCAATGGGGCCAACCATGTTTGTGTTGACATGGTGAGAAACAAGAAAGATGGTAATGAGATGTTGATGGTTGAAGGTATGCTTCTCCATAGTTTTGTCATATTTCTTCTCGCGCATGGTGAACTATTTGTATCGATAGGGTGCAGGCATTACCATTTATGATTTCTAATTGGTTCTTAGTTGACTGATTTAGTAGTGGCCTTTATTTGCATATACTGTTTCGATATTAGTTATATTGGTATCCAGGGACCAGGGTAGCTGTAGGTATCACAAAGTGGTGTTCGCAGTTCCATCTGTGTTCTAAGACATATGTGCTCAGCTTGAGTTTTTAAGATCACAATTGCTTTTCCCTTCCCTATTTTTTTTTTTTTTTTTTGCTTTGACTTGAAACATCTCAACTCTTTGTACAAATGATAATAGTTGATTTTTACATTTTATTAACCTTGTTTTTACTACAGATGACGGTGGTGGGATGACGCCTGAAAAAATGCGACAATGCATGTCTCTTGGGTATTCTGCAAAAAGCAAATTGGCAAATACTATTGGTCAATGTGAGCTTCTATATTGCTAGCATTATACTATAGAGTTTCCTGTGTAAATGGGTAGAGAATAACTGCTATAACAGAGAAGATTGTTTCACTAATAATTTTCTCTTTCTTTTAATATTTTCTTTTTCAGATGGCAATGGGTTTAAGACTAGTACTATGAGGCTTGGAGCAGACGTAATAGTGTTTTCTCGTTGTGAAGGGGAGGATGGGAGAAGGTTTGTTTTTAATCTGTCTCTGTTAAACCCTAGCTTGGAAACTTGATTCATTTGGTCTTAGAAGTCTGAAGTTTTACATGGTTGTAGTATAAGGACTTGCAGAAACGGCAGTCTTTTGTTACTTTTTATTTTGTCATCTGCCTCATGTTTTTATTTTGTCAAATTGAAAAGTAACCGACTCATACTCTTTTCTCTTAGACCGACACAGACCATTGGAGTGCTATCCTACACCTTTTTGAGGGTTACTGGAAAGGAAGATATTGTGGTTCCCATGGTAAGCAGAGTTTCTTTTTTTTCTTTTTTGGTGGTAAAATAATGACAACATTTTGACCATCCCTGATTTTGTAGCCAGGCTTTTGGGTTTATAGTTTTGTACTGTAACTTTCATAATTATCACCATACGCTACTTAATCCTTTCCTTGTATTGTGATTTTTGAACCATATTGCTCTGATCAAGTCAGTATGTTATTACTAATGCATGTCTTAAAGTTTAAGACTTATTAAAAGATGAAATAAAAATAATTCAGACGAAAGGTAGCTTTAAATTTTTTATAATGATGTGCTTGTTACCACAAGTTGTGATGTTATTTTTTCCAGGAAGTTTAGTTAAGGACCATTTTTAATAAATTAGTGATGCATTTTGTAAGAGAAGCTTATCACTGGGAAAATTGGAGAAATGATCTTAATTATCAGTCTCGCATTAATTTGTCTCCATTATTCCATTAATTACGATTTATTTTTACTGTAAGGTTGATTATGAGAAAAGAGGCCAAGGTTGGAACAAGATGATGCGGGGTTCTCCAGATGACTGGCATAAGAACTTAGCAACCATAGTGCAGTGGTCTCCTTATTTAAGCGAAGAAGATCTTCTTCAGCAGGTAATTCTTAATTTTTCTTTTCAAATTCTGTTTTTGAACTTGGCATTTCTCATTTGGTCTACTTCCCTTTTGCCTTTTCAAGTTTGTAGCATAATCTGACTATGAGAGAGAGAGAGAGAGAGAGAGATCCAACTTACTGTGTTTTTGCTTCTTATTAATGCACAATATTCTACTCTTAAGGTTTGGTTTGTAACCATTATTGTTGTCTCAAATTTTGTATTATTTATATCTTTTTGAGGCTTGGGTTGATGACTCATCCTCTTTTGCTCAAAATTGCTCTGAATAATACTTATTTTTGAGAAAGGAAAATATAGACTTCTTTAGATATGAGTGCAGGAATGTACATTGTAATGCATTCTTCAAGTTTCCAGTGAAACACCAAATGTTTTGCACAATTGTCACTACTTGTATTGATAACCACATTGACATTTCATAGCTATGTTTCAGGGCACCATTGTTTGTCTTTAATATTATGTCAAAACAAATTGTTACTTAGCTCCTTCATATGCTAATGCACTTGTTGTCCTTTGTCACTGTAGTTTAATCTCTTTAAAGAGCATGGTACACGTATAATAATATACAACCTTTGGGAGGATGATGAAGGAAAACTGGAACTTGATTTCGACACTGATCCCCATGTGAGATTTTGACTCTTTTTCAATTGATCGTTGTTTTTTATCTTAAGTCTTGTAAATTGTAGGGTACCTTCGCTGCACTTTCAGATTTGGGTTCTTATCTTTTGTGCATGAAATGACAGGATATTCAAATTAGAGGAGTCAATAGGGATGAGAAGAACATTCAGATGGCAAAACGGTATCCCAACTGTAGACACTTCTTAACCTATCAGCATTCATTAAGGGTATGTTTGAAGAACTCATTCAACTTCAACGAATGTCAACATTCACTGTGACAGAAACTGTAATTCTCGAAGAAGACAGTTTCACATACGATCTTACATCAGCAATCATAACCATAACATCTTTATTCTTTTTTTTTTTTTTTCCAGAGTTATGCCTCAATTCTTTATCTCAGGCTTCCATACAACTTCAGAATTATTCTTCGTGGGAAAGATGTTGAACATCATAATATAGTTAATGATATGATGTTAACGAAGGAGGTAACATACAGACCTCTGCAACTTCCGGAAGGACTGTCACCAAAATTTGCAAATGTAATACCTCCATAACTAATCTTGAAATAGCATTACTTTTTATGATTTTATTTTACAATATTACTGATTATTCCCTTATTTTTACAGATGACTGCAAATGTGACACTTGGTTTTGTAAAGGATGCAAAATATCATATTGATGTCCAAGGGTTCAGCGTTTATCATAAAAATCGACTGATTAAGGTTAGTGTCTCATTTAAATTGTTGTTGATAATAAGGCACAATACTTGCAATCTTGTACAGTGTATTCTGTTTTCTTCTCATATTTTGCCTGAAAAAACTTCATTATCAGCCGTTTTGGAGGCTGTGGAATCCTGCCGCAAGTCATGGTCGTGGCATTATAGGTATTTTGTAATACTTCTCAAACAGATTAGTTATTGTGTTTTTCTCGGAGTTGCATTGACTAATTGTGATATGGATTAATTTTGTTACCCCACTCTTGTCATCTCTCTCCGTGACAGGTGTTTTGGAAGCTGATTTTGTTGAACCAACTCACGACAAACAGGGCTTTGAGCGGACAGCTGTGCTTTCAAGACTAGAGAATAAATTGGTTAAAATTCAAAAGGATTACTGGTTTGTTCTTTTCCTCAATGCTGCTTAAGTACTTGAGGTTGTTTGTATGATTGTATCTCACTTACTGTGATCCATTTTTTCTAGGTATGCAAATTGCCAGACTGTTGGGTATGCTCCAGTAAGACGTACTACTGATTTTCCAGAAAGAGAACCTTCAGTGTCTGGTAGAAGGAAATCCTGTCGCGTAAATCAGAATTGCCATGGTTCTAGTAGTGGACGACTTAAGTCCAGTAACAAACTTGAAAAAGGATCATTAGCCGTAAATGCTTCAAGTGAAAATGGGAGCTGTTATGAGGCATCACGTTCTTGTATTGAACCTCAGCAAGATCCTGCTTCAGATGAAAGAGTCCCTCAAATGCTTACACGTTCACAGTCAAAGGCATTTTATTTTACCTTTACTTCTCACTCGTGTTTATTTCTGCTTCAGATCATATGATCACTTGTGCACATTGTGGTAGCAGCAAATACAAAAGAGTTAATAGATTAGTGTGAACCTTATGGTTAACTGTCGAGAATTAGACAGTTAATAGATTGTTGTGTACGCTAAATTTTACTACCCACTACCACAAGTTTGCTCATTGCTTGTATTTGCTCCCGTAAGCAGACGGTCGCTACAAACAGAGTGGGACAAGTTTCTACAGATTGCAATGCTGAGTGTTCAACCAAGTCGAAAAAGGAATCCCATGAAGCGACAGAAAGGTTCTGCAAAATTCAGTTCGCTTACGTTGTGTGCTTGTGCAAATAGTCTTTTTATTCAAAACTTACCATTTCATTGTTGTCCTTTCTCTTTGCAGTTTGAGGGAAATTGTCAGTCCAGCAATGGCTAAATTGCTAAACGAGCGCAGTTGTGAAAGGTGCAAATCTCTTGGGACTGAAGTAAGTGTGCTAGCTTTAAATAGTTATCTTAAACCGTACATTATTATGTCAATTAAATTTCGATGCTCATGCTTTTCATTTTTCATTTTAATCAGCTTCAGCAGGCAAAAGAAAAAATAGAACAGTTGGAGAAAGAGCAATCGGCTTTCCTAGAAATAATAGTGCAAGAAAAGGCCGAGCGAGAACAAGAAGAGGAAAGATTAAGGAAAAGCCTAACGGTGGGGATATATCACAAACCGCTCTCTGCATCTTCACTTGTCCATTCTCTAAGAAATCTTTTTTTCCCTGGATGCAGGATGCTTCTAACACGATCTGCAAGTTGCTTGAGAAGGTGAAAGAGCTAGAAGGAAGGAAGCTACAGAACCCTAAAGTTGAGCATGAGTAAGGCACAAACAGCGCTAGTGCCCGTGCTTTGATTTACATGTATCTTGCCGTACATATATTCTCAGAACCAATGAATTCCGTGGTCTAGAAGGAAGGCTAGAGTGTAGTTGACCTGAATATTACATATCAGGATTTGTGTAGTTCACCTGAAAAACCTGTATTCACGTTGTCTGCTAAATGTTAAGGCAATGCGGTAATTGCGTAATTTTGACAGCATTAACATTGCAGATTAGGAAGAGCAAGTAGCAAGCTTGAAGTACGATTGGAAGGGCTTTTTGGTTTGGGAGTCAGTATGTACATTTTTATAAGAATTTCTTTTCGGCTTAACTAATTTCCAATGTTTAGTTCATTGTTGTAAGTAATAATTGCACAGAAATATATTTTAAATTGTCTGTCTTTAGTTTCTGGTGGTAGCTAGTCTGTAGTTTCTTGGTGTAATGGTCCTCACCTTTTCGGAAGAGGATAGGTGCCTCGCACGCGACCATTGTCAAATAATTAATCTTGCCTAATCTTTCTTCATTTGAAAACAAAAATAATTATGTCAAAAGTACAGTTACCATTTTGGCTCGAAATCACTTTTGGTCTATGTAGTTTCGTTGTTTTTATCAACAGAGAACTATTTCTACATTCCTCGTTTCATCTCCAGCACTACGTATTTTCTTAGCAATTAGGTTGATAATTCATAGGAGAATCAACTAATACATGCTAAAGGTGAAAATGGGAGTACGGTTATTACATCGCTTACCAGTTTGGTCATTATTTTGTTTTTGTTAGAAGTTTTGATGGATGTTTATGAAATGACGATATTGATTTATGGTACCGAATTTCAAATAAAGTATTGATTGATTTTCAAGTTTAAGGAGTTTAGTTCACTTTAAAAGATCATTTCTGATAAAAAAAAAAAACCTTTAGCCACTTTGTCCTTAGGCAAAACAAATCACTAGTCACAGGCTGACAGAGACGGGATTGATGTAGAATATGTGTTAATTTTTTATCCAAATGTTTTCCATCGCAAACATAGACAAATAAGCTTTTCTGACCACGATAAACAATCATATATATGAAACACAATTATTTTAGGTATTGAAGCGAAATTGTTATTAGTATTACAAAAATCTTATTCTACACTCCTTAAGTGTTTTCATTCTAATTATACAAAATGAAGTGAAAAATGAAAATTTTGAAATGTCAGTAATAGTTTTCGTCTGAAAAACTATGGATTCTGGTTTTGTTGGGTAGTCTGAGGGAACGGAGGAGGAACATATGGTATCCAGGTCCTGGGATCTCCCAGGCTGAACGCAGGCGGCGGCGGAGGAGAAAAAACTGAAGGAATGTAAGGAATCCAAGTCCTCGGATCCCCCAAATTAAACGCCGGCGGAGCATGTGGGGCAAAAGGATTTGGTGCCGGAGGGAACTGCGGGAATGGGAAAGGCAAAGATGGCGGGCCCCGGAACGGGAACGGGAATGGCGGCAAAAATGGCAATGGAGGCAGAGGAGGAAAGGGCAGGGAAGAAAATGGCGGCGGCTGAGGCCATGGGAAGAACCCGTATGGTGGGAAGTAAGGGAGGAAGAACTTGGAGGAATTGAAGGAAGTTGCCAATCCACCCTCCACCTTCCTGTTTCCGCAGAGCGTGAGATTTTTCTTACGTGGTCGGAAACTCAAGGCGTTCATGCTGTAGATGCAGAGATTGTCTTGTTTCGATTTGACTGAGATTTCGTCTGCGGTGGTTGTTAAGGCGGGGACATTGCAGGCGGAGGAGGAGCTGCCTATCAAGGTTGCCTGGCACATTGACTTCATGGCAAAGCCACTGATGCAGTTGACTCCATCGACAGAGGGGATTTCCAGTTTGTAGACTCCGTACTTGTCTGTGGTTTTGTTGACCTGGAAGTTCATCTGTGATGCTGTTTTGCGGGATTTTGCTCCGAATTTGCATTTTATGAGGACGTCCACACCTGATCAGTTAACAAAACTAATAGAATGACTAAAAAATCATCAAAAAAAACTAAAAGTTACGCTTTTACGGCGTTCGACGGAAAAACTTAGAAATTAGGAAGTACTTGAACTTTTTTGTTATGTTTGAACGAGCGACTTTTAAAGTATCAATGAATTTTAGACTAAATTGTTAAAAATGCAATACGAGAATGTAATCATTGAACTACTCAAACACTACAAATCTCTCCCATACTTTTTGATAACATCTTGAAAGGTAATTTTTGAAATTTCTTACAATTTATTTTGCAGCGCATTCCAAAACGTACCATTAGTAAACATTTTGTTGTGCTTTTAACATAAGTGCTTATGAGCATAAGTGCTTATTTATGGATTCTAAATGAAACCATACTGCACTTTGCAGATTATTTACCTGGGAGAAAGTAGCTGCTCCTCGAGAAACTGTTGCTTAAACAGGTATCACAGTAAACTGCTCCCACAACGGTGATCCGAGCGGTTGGGGGTGTGGATCGAGCGGCCAGAGCAGGTGGGCGGATGGCAAGAGATGCAAGAAGAAGAACAAACGAAATGATGGGATCCATGGAAGAAGCTTCTACTGATTTAAATTAAGCAGCATATAACAAAGCTTATAGACTATTTGCTAGCTAGTCTGTGTTATATAGCTGGAGATTCAAGCTCTCTATGTTTAATGGAGCCCGTGAGTATTTAGTGTTAGGACCAACTGTAACCGGAGACATGAAATGCTTTATATATTCAGAACAAAACAAAGACATGTGAAGAACCCTTTTTGGCATGATTGTCAGGTAAGAGGGGTAGATCAGAGAAATTACATCCAAATGCTAAAGTGATGGTATTCTGAACACATCAAGTTTTACTGTATGTTTTAACGTGTACAGCTGATTATGACATTGTGTAGTTGTGCAGTAGCGTTATTAGGAATTTTAGAACATCATTGCTATCGGTTTTGGACCAAATCTTCCGTTAGCTTCAAGCATTCCATATATTTTCTTAAAGTCTCTTTCCAAGTTTTCTTAGTTTTTCCTCAGTTCCTCTACCCATTGTACCGCGAGCCGCTATTTCATGTTCACCTTTTCTAATCGGAGTATTTGTAGGTTTTCGTTTCACATGTTTAAACTACCTTAACTGATTTTCTCTCATCTTATCTTCAATTGTGACCATTCCTACTTGAGGGACCATTGCTTCAATTTATTCTATGTATAACACAGTTACTAGTATATAATTGAGTCCAAATTGACTCCTTAATTGATCCGACTTTGGTCATGAATTTAGAACAGGGCCAGCCTAGGCCTGTAGACGTGTCGTTCCAAAGCCCAAAAGTAAAGACAAGTTGAAACTGGAGGAGTAACATTTCTTTTGAAAGTTTTATTTTTCTTAATTTCTTACATCTAATGAATTTGCAATAGTATCCAATTAAAAGGATTGAACTTACTGAATTTATGGAACTGCAGATTTACCATTGCGGAAGTAAGGACTAATCACAAGATTTCACAACAGTATTTGGAGAGAATACTAAATCGAGAGGCCACGTAGTTAGATTTGTGCGACCACCTAACTAATAAACTGTTATATTCTCACATGAGTGGAAGTGGAACCAATACTGGAACGAATGAACTAAATATAGAGGAATATGCACCTGAGAGGGAGTAAGGTGAGACCAAGTAAGGCTTAAGTGCTCTTTTGAAGTTTTTCCCATGTTAAAAGATTCAAGACCCACGCCTTACGACAAAAAAAACACAATTACAATGTATTATCAACTTTTAGCGAACAAGTTTATGTTTAAGACAAATGCATTTATAATAAACTCATATATGGAACTTTAGTTATACAAAATTACCTTACACATATGGATTGGGTACAATTAATTAATTATACCAAGTAAATACACAATATTTCTTCATTTAGTTGGAAATTTACAAAAATGAAAAAACACAAATGGAGATGCAGGGGATCGAACCCTGTACCTCCCGCATGCAAAGCGGGCGCTCTACCATTTGAGCTACATCCCCAGTAGATGGTGAACTCTTTCGGTAAATAACTTAGTGATGTCAATGCCATTGTTTATGCTCAGTTTTTATATAGGTCAGTACTGTAATTATGCCTGATTAATTAGCTAGAGGTGAATAACACGAAGAATTAATGATAATTATACATAGAAGAATACAACAATTAATTTTATGCTATAATTATATTTTAGTGGCTGAATATTAAAAGGAATTATTCTGGTTTTTTATAGTATATCATTGTAATGTACATGTATGAGTCATAATTGTAGGGGTTTAAGCATCTCTGAATTCATGTATTTGTAAAGCACAATGGATCAAATTAGAGTCATTAGACGTTTTTTGATGAATGAAAGATTCAGAGTTTTGCTCTCTATTATTTTAGTGTCTTTCTCTTGTAAGATTGTTCAATTTTTGTTTCTAGTTTTCTGCAATTGTAGAATGTTACAAAAATAGGCTCTTTCAAGTTTTTCAGGTCTCTCCTTTCACACACAAACACACACACACACACACACACACACACACACACACATATATATATATATATCTGCGAGATTGGAGTAGAAAATGAAAGTGAAATTATCATAAATATATCCAAATGTAGTTAAAACTGAACATCATCATGAACACTCTCACTCTTTTCTATTCCATTTTTTTTGACTTGACCTGCATGTGATAAATTCGATGATGACGATCAGAGCCAGAGGGCCCCAGCCTCCTTGAGAAGTGGGACCAGGGACCCATTGATATGGGAAGCCATGACTCTATCCATGGCGCCAATAAGCTTGCCACCAATAAACACCACCGGAACCGCCGACGAGGTTCCGAGCAACCTCATGAGAGCCCTCTCGATCTCCTTCCCTCTGGGGTCCTGGTCCAGCTCGTACACCGTCGGATTCACCCCCATTCCGCAGAAGAGCCTCTTGACGGCGTGGCACATGCAGCAGCTGCTCACGCTGAATATCACCACCGCGCTCTTCGACGCCAGCCTCGCCACCCGCTCCAGTGGGTCCCCCATGCTCATCCTCACCGGCACGTAGTACCCCCATGACTCAGCAGCTGCCTGGTACTGCATCATGATTAACAATGTACTAATATAATCCTAATCTCTCCACTTATATAATTATTGATTATTTGGACCCAAAGATGAACGAAACACTAAACTAACCAAGTAAAAAAGTCGAAGATTACAAGTTACACCTGAGAGAAGATAAGAGAAGTTGTTCAGGGTTTGAAAACTGAAATTGAAAGAAGTTGGACAGTGAGGTGCGGATTTTATAGTCATGTTTGGGAGCGGTAAAATTGTAATAATGAAGGGTTGGGAGGGGTTAAGTGGGTTATATCGAGTTTTTTTGTCTGTTTGCTGTCGCAGGGCGTGCGAAGAGGGTGTCGTGGTTTTTGCTTTAAAAGGATTGTTGTCTGTACTACAATGTACAACGAGGGGAGAGGAGCGTAGACGTACGTGGACAAAATACATACTCGTATTTTGTGGCGGTCACTGGCGGAAGCGGCGGTGTCAGGAGGTGGAAGGCGGTGAGTGGGGTATTTTTGTCTACGGTCGGGAGTAGGGAGGGGTACTGTGTCAGCTCTATTTTAAGCTTAAATTAAGGGCTTTATTCAGATTATGTTGGAATTGAAGCAGGCTTTAATAAAAGGAGAGGCAGAAGGATTAGACGGCTGCGCTGGTCCTCCTTGTCGAGAGCGCTATTATATAAGACCAAAACTTCTTTTTGCAATCCTGACGTGACCCTTACGCGCATGTCTCTCTTCTTTTTTTCCTTTAATTATTCTGGTGTTTTTGGATTTTGGATTCTCTCAACAGATACGGTATTGGCATGGCCATTGCCCAAAGCTTGAAGAGAACAAAGAACGTGATCGTGATGATCAACGGTTCTTCTTTCTTGGGTTCTGCAATTTGACCCCCAAACAACTCCCATCCCATGAAAAAGTAGAACTGCGACATCTAGCAGCATGCCCTGCATGCATGCTAGTGTTTGAATTATTTTCATGTTTTTGATGTCTGTGGAGCTGTTACTTCCTGCTTAATTTACTACTTTTTTGCTTTTTCAAAGTTAATTACTATTATAAATAAGCCTAATTTAGTTTACTTTAGTGTTCATGAGGTTCTGCTAACGCATGCAACCCCAAACACTAAAACCCTCGTGCGCTAGTTTTTCAGAGTAGTGTGTATGTATTGTAATTGACTATTAATTTCTACCACTAACATTAGTATGTCCACTTGATATGTTTGTTGAGCAGTTGTCCTATATATATAATTAATTAGGCAAATTGCTAAGTTTTAATGATCGTATACAACTATGTGTCTATTTTTCAATTACGCAACTAGCAATGAATTAAACAAAGACACATGATATAATAAGTGATAGGCAAATTTTCTTTTACAATAGGGTTATCTTTTAGTTTCTATAGTTCTTATGCATATATATAGTACCAATTGAGTACAATTATATATATTTCCATTTCTTTTGCCACAGGACTGATTGTGAGATGAGAACATGAAAGAGACAAGAGCTATTTGTTTGGATTGTGCCAACTGAAAGAGGTGGGGAGACAACTCAAATACTGGCCTAAAAATATAAAAAGTCATGCCGTTCAAAATTAAATTCTTCTAAGATTCATTGCTCAATTTTGCATACTCTACTCCCACACATATAATTAAATACAATTGGCGACAAATAAATTTTTTCCTACAATCAAAGTATATCTCCTGATGTCTACATCTCTTATCTATGAATGTCATAGACATATATACCCCACCCGACAAATTAGATTTTCTCCTGAGTATGGCTTGGACCATATGTCCTTCATGTTATATAGTTTTCACCTAGCTTAATTATACACATTACCCCTTATCTAAATTAGTAGTGCACATGTAACGTTTGTCTTATATATCTATCTTTTCATCTTTTATTTGGTCGATTATATATACACGGAAAAATTAGATTTGGGTTGATCTGGGATTCAAATATATAAGATATATGTATAAAAACAACAGAAACAACAACAAAAAAGTCTGGAATTTAGTAGCGTGTAGGAGCAAAAGCAATGACAAAGTAAACAAACGGTTGACTTGGATGTTGGAACGATTATAGAGAAAGATGAAAAAGGAAGGCGTGGTCTGCAATACAGATGAAGTCGGGCGGCGGGCACAGTTCGCATGCCGCAGCAGGATCTGGGAGATCGTTTCTCCATTTATGCACATCTGGGTTTGATTTAGTTGAGGGTTCGGTGTATAGGTCCGACCACAGACATACTTTTGTTTCTTGCTTTTTCAGGACAAGTACCATCTCTGTGATTCTCTCTTCTCTCAGGTGTTGAAACTGGACTGGTTTTAACAACAGAATCTGGTTAGTCCAGCCGTTGAGCCGCAGTTAAGTCGAGGAGCCAACTCCAAAACTCAAAACTTTGTATAATTACAAATTCAATACTTTATGTATACGCGTATATACTACGCATGTATAAGTATTACATTTTAAAGTTCAGTCACTCCTCACCCTCAGTAACTTGAAAAGATTATTCATATTTTTGTTAATTCATGAAAACACGTATACTACAATAAATCTAGGGAATAGGCTTCAAAATTTGTTCTGAATAACTGAAGGCATGTTTAGTATCCTTCTTGAAATCGTATTTCATGACCAAAAATTAACTGATTTTTTTGTTCAAGGGCTAATTCTAAATGTCACTGAAAAACAGTGAAGGTAGCTAAATTACGTAATACTCATTAGTTTTAAAAACAAAAAATTAGATCCAATTATATTACCAAATAACCCTTTACTTTCTTTGTAATCAAAATATTAAGGTAGTTTGAATTACAATAATTAAAAGAGTTTTTATCACAAATAGTTCCTGAGATTGACCAAACTCATCATTTTGGTAATTCACTTTCAAAATCAATTAATGTCGTCTCTGACATTCATTGCCTCACATCAGTTTGGTCATTTCCATCAACTATTATGTTTGTTTGTATGCGGGATTCATAAATCCAATCAAATGGTGACACGTGGATTGCATAAGGGTTTTATCGCAAATGGTCCTTGACATTGATCCAACTCCTCATTTTGGTTCCTGAGTTTCAAAAATCGGTAAATTTGGTCCCTGACTTTCACTACCGCGCATCAATTTATTCCCTCTGTTAATGTGGTCCCACTAATCCAATTATATGGATCAACGTGGATTAACTATAAGAATTTTTTTTTTTTAAGAGTGAACCAAAAGAAGAGTATTTCACATTGACATTTTTCTTGCATCCCACAACCCCAATTGGAAAAAAAATTCAATCTAAATTCGATAAAATCAAATCCAAATTCAATTCAAATTTGATAGGCTTTAGGATTATAACCAACTAGAAAGAATGAGGAGCGAGTTCAGGAGGCCAAGTACTTTAGTGGTGTCATGGTACCTTCCTTTTCCTTTTGAGCATACCCTGATGAAGACGACGATGACTTTTTTATTTATTTTAGTTTTGGTTTTTAGTTTCTTATTTTACTTTTAGTTTTAAATCTTAAAAAAAAAAAAAAAAGTTTCTTAGTTAATCCATGTGGTGCCATATGATTGGATTAGTGGGACAAAAAATATTGACGAAACTTTAACGGAATGATTAAATTGATGTGCGGTATTGAAAGTAAGGGACCAAATTTATCAATTTTTGAAACTCAGGGACCAAAATGAGGAGTTAGATCAATGTTAGGGACTATTTGCAATAAAAACCCTTATTTTGTATAATCCACTTGTCACCATTTCATTGGATTTATGGGTCCCACATACAAACTAATAGAATAGTTGATGGAATCTTAACGGAATGACCAAATTGATGTGCGGTAGTGAATGTCAGGAACGACATTGATTGATTTTGAAAATGAGAGACCAAAATGATAAGTTTGATCAATCTCAAGGACCATTTTGATAAAAACCCTAATTAAAAGTATAGGACATACAATGAGCAAGCACACATTTTTTTTACCATCCTTGTATCACACATTAATTGACCATCGATCTGCTTACGATTAATGTATTTCAATCGTATAAATTACATAATTGGATGTCTTTCGAATGTCACTTTATTAAAAAAAAAAAAAAAAAAAAAAAAAAGAGTTTGAACATTGTTTAGTCGGTCATTCATATTAGGCAATAGACAGATTGACATATTACAATTTATAAGGAACCAAAATGAACAACATTGTGGCCACTTAGTACTACGGTTTAGTAGTATTCCTCTTCACGTATAAGTGAGAGGTTTAAGGTTTGATTCTCTCCAAAAACGAATTTGAACCATATTATTGCTAGTCCATTGTGAGGCTAAGCTCCACCTGCTCCTCCTTAATATAGATAATATCGTTTGTTAAAAAAAATGAACAACATTGTGGTGCTTTAGTATAAAGGTAAAAATGTGGTTTTTCGTTAAAAGAAAACAGTCCTAAGAGTGTTTCGTTAAAACTCCCTATAATATTATATAAATACACACAAAACAGATTAACCTTCTGTTAAAAGATTTTCTATGATCATAATCAAACAAATCCAAAATATAGTTTACAAGACATATAGTTCATCTGCAAAACTGAAGAGAAGAATACAAAAACAACAGAAAAATATTTGATCTTTGTCATCAGAATCGAGCAATTGAAATATTTCCCACCATGCATGAATTATCACGTAGCTCCATCAAAGACATATTATTCATCATGTCCTCCTCTTTAACATAGAAGTAGGGTTCCCATCAAACAAATCATCAATCAAATTCTCAATATCCTCCGGTTGGTACTTTATATACTTCTCCAACTGCCTCCCTCCCTCCAAGTACTGCTTGAACCTACTCCAAAACGACCGGTAGGCCGGAATCATCACCGACGACACTGAAACCCTAAGCTCCGACTGAAGCTGCTCGTCGCTCACCACCCACGTGCTCTGCGTCTTGTGTATCTCGTCGAACAACGCGTTGAAGCACTTAAACCGCTCCTTGATCACCGTCTTCGACACCTTCCCTTTCACCTGCAAACCCTCGTGGTTGAGACAATGCAAAACCCTACCCCACGTCTCCCGCTGATAGTTCTTATGGTATCCCCTCAAGTCCGTCGACCGCTTCCTGCACCACGTGTCACCCATCAAATGGTGGATCTCCGCGGACCCCTTCACTTTCTGCATAATGTAACGCCCGTTGTTCATCAAGAAGATGTACCGCAATGAGGGGTCCCGGTACAGTTTGGACTT